CACCCAGGGCACCAGACAAGACAAATGAGGAAAAGGGTATGAGAGGAAGGTAAGGGGTCCGTTCCTCTCGGGATAATACTTAAGGAATTTTGTTTCACACTTTCACGTCCGACCCTGTGAGCCGGATGATCACGATCTCCGATGGGAACTGTGAACGCCATTCGCTTTCTACTGGCCCAGGGTGCTGGACACTCAACAGTCACCTTTGGGAACCACAGTAGACACTCACATCAAGCGCACTTGACAGCCTTCCCCCCCACTTTTACCTCATAAGAGAGGGTACCTTTACCTCTTAAGAGAGGTTGATTAGTCCTCTCCTCCGTCCCTGCTTTACAGGGAGGGATTATTCTATTCCCCAATACTTGCCTGCAGGCTTGTTCTCCTGTCCTCTGGCCGGCTGGAACTTGGCCTGGTCTCTGTTCCCTTTCCAAGTGGTTCTTGGAGGTGTCAACCGCTGCTGCAGGGGTCCTGCGTCACCGGGAAGTCCCTCGGAACAAAGTGTCCGATGGCGCCTGGGAAGTTCCCTCCAACTCAACAAGCCCCTGGCAGAGGGGTGACCCTCCAGAGAGTCCCAATGACTCGTTGTGTCCCATCTGGGGTGCCAGAAATGAAGCGGGAAAACCCACTTTCCCAAATGCAGGAGACAAGACCACAAAAGTTGGAGAACACAGGTTTATTTCCTAGCAAAGGTTTGGAACATTCACATGTCAGATTCCAAACCCTGGGCTATGCCCAAGGTGTACCTTTTATACATTTTGCAATTCTAGCCACGCCAGAGGCGTTACACTTCTGACTCTATTTCCATATATGGTCTGTTACTTTCCGCGAACACTTCTGGTAATATGTTTCTTAATATAAGTTCGTTACAGGGATGATATAGGTCATTAAGCTCATCAGTACATTTAACAAGTTCCTTATTTCTGTTCCTTGTACTTTCCTGAGGTTTGCAACATAACTTCTACTCCCACGACAACACTTCTGAGAGCAACATAATACTGTGAATAATACAATACATAGATTAATATGATTTATAGTATAAGACCCTCCTGTCTCAGGTTAACCAAAAACATAATGGGACAATTGAATACAGCTGCCTTAACACTTCTTCTTGGGCACTCCACCACAGCTGACACAACATGGACATTCTTATTTGGCTGGCTCTCCTCTGATGTTCTCCCGCCATTGGTCTGCCAGTGCTCTTCCCTCACTCCTTCATCCTGGGAGCTTCACAGAGAGATATGCCCAGAAACAATCATTTAGGAAAGCAGAAACACCATTCCAATTGACTGAAGTGAAAAGAACTTTTTACTAAAGATTTTGGTTGCAGGAAGATGAGGAGAAATCTGAAGTTTCTGCTCACCGATACAAAGAGCCAAACATTCCCCATCCCTCCTTCCAAGGCCCAGTCCGTTGTCCCCCAATCTAGGATCACCACAATATTGTGGAAAACTCTGGGTTGTTTAGACTGCTGGAATTTCATACCCAGGGCAAGCAGCCTTGAAAATAATGTAGGAAATTAGCACCCACCCTTCTCCTAGAAAACTGATATATTCTAGGAAATATTAAAAAGGCAGACTATTATACCTTTCTGGATGAGAAAAGGAGAAAACATGTGCTTGGAAAGCAGCCCCCACCTTTGTCAATAGCTCCAGAAAGACAAAAGACATTTTACCTACAACACAAAAGACCTTCAGCTCCAGGATGATGGGATTAAGTCATGGCCCTCAGGACATGATAGGATTAGCCCTCCACCCATCTCACCATATGGCACCTGAGAAGGTTACATCAGCCAGCAAGGCTCAACCAAGCCTGGGACAAAGACAGCCTACAAAGTTAGCTAAGACCCCTGCCCCCTGGGAATCTGACAGCCAATGGGATATATTTCTTGTACAGGAACAGGAAACTCTAATGGAGGGCCCAAGAGAGGCTATAAATCTATCTATCTCTGTCTCCCATGTGCCTTTTTGCCTGGGACCTCAAACCATGTGGTCCTGCTTTCCACCATTAAACCATCTTTCCAAGCAGTGTCCATGTTTCCAGTGTCTTTCTTCCCCATTTGGAACTGAACCCAGATGGACATTTCTTCCAACAATACCCAGTGTAAGTGGTACAAACAGCTCTGGTCTACTTCACATGTCAGCTCCCCCCCCCGCCGCCACCCCATTTCTCACCATGAGATACACAGGTGTGGATTGGCCCAAATGCCTCCCTCCTCCATTTCCCTTTGATGGCAGGACACCAACAAGGCCGCAGGCTGATGATGGAGATCCTGACAGATACTTTTCCACGGCCATTTGGCTGTGTGGGACATTTAAACACACATCCAGGGGAGCCAATGCATGTGTCGAGGGGGAAGGGCAGAGAGAGAAAGAGGGAGGGAGGGAGTGGGAGAGAGAGAGTCTGGAGGGAAAGAAAAGAGGAGGAGGAAGAGGAGGAAGCCGAGGTGCTACAAATAGGGGAGCTTCCCCCTTTCCCCTATCTCTTTTTTTTAACCGCCTCCCACTTAAGGCAAGTTCCACTGGAGGGAAAGAGCGAGAAGGGAGAGAAAGCAGGAAGGGTTTGTATTTGTGTAGGGGGGATGGGTGGGGGGGAAGAGAAAGAGAGAGAGCAAGAGTGAGCCAGGAGGGAAGCAAAAATGTGGGGAAGGCAAAGCATTGCAAATGGAGTAAGCAAACTTACAAACAGGATCTCTCTCTCTCTCTCTCTCTCTCTCTCTCTCTCTCTCTCTTTCTCTCTCTCTCTCTCTCCCCTTCCTCCCTCCTTCTCCCCCCTCTCTCTCTTTCTCTCTCTCGGACACACACACACTTCTTTCTTCCCCTTCTCACACTTTCCCTCCAGCAGCATCTGGACGGAGTTGGGGGAGATGCATCCAAAAGGTAGAGGAGGGAACTAGAGGAAAAGCTGTACTGGGCCTAATTCTTACTAATAGAGAAGTGATAGAGGGAGTTGAAGTTGCCAGAACTTTGGACAAGAGTGACCATGTTATATTGGAATTCAATATAATGCAAACACAAGCAATAGAATATAATCCAACCAGTGTCTTAAACTCTAAAAGAGACAGCCTAAGCAAATTTTCATGGATAGAATTCCTAAAAGGGAAAACAACTCAAGAAGTGTGGGAAACACTGAAAAATATGGTCATAAAAGCCCAGTCCAACACAAAACCACTGAAAAAGAAAAACAAGAAATCAAAGAAGAAACTACCATGGTTGCACAAAGATCTCTGATAAACTGAAAGACAAAAAGGATAAGTATAAAAAATGGAAATTATACTTATTTACGGGACCGCCTACTACCACAAACAGCCTCCCACCAGCCGGTACGCTCTCATAGAGAGGGGCCTCCAGGTGCCATCAGCCAAACAATGTCGACTGGCGGCCCCCGGGGGAGGGCCTTCTCTGTGGGGGCACCCACTATCTGGAATGAGCTCCCCCCAGAGATACAGAGGATCCCAGATCTGCGCACTTTCCGCCATGCGCTTAAGACCCTTCTATTCCAGCAAGCCAGCCTGGCCTAATTTTCTCCCCTTTTCTTTTAAATTTTAAATTGTAATTTTAATCTGTTTTAAATTATTGGGATTTTTTAATTGTCTCAGGCTGAATTATTTAATTTGGTTTTAATTTTGTTTTTTAACTCTTGTATTTATGTATTTTATTCTGTGCCTGTTCACCGCCCTGAGTCCTTCAGGAGTAGGGCGGTTTATAAGTCTAAATAAAACAAACAAAATAAAACAAACAAACATAACTAAGGCAGAATACTAGCAGATAGCCCAAATCTGCAAAGATGAAGTCAGGCTCTAAATGAACAAAGACTTGCAACAAAAGTCAAAGATAATAATAAAAAAAGTTTCTTTCAACATATAAATAACAAGGGGAAAGGTCAACGGAACAGTCAGTTTAACATAATTGTAAAAGACAGACTAGAAATAAAAATTAAAATAAACAAGAAAATGGTAAGAGAACACCTGCCTGATCTTGATGAATATAAATCACCAGGACCTGATGGATTTCATCCCGGAGTTCTGAAGGAGCTGGCAGATGTTATCTCAGAACCATTGTACCATATCTTTAAAAAAAATAATCCTGGAGCACCTGGGAACTACCAGAGGATTGGAAAAAAAGAGATTGGACAATCATTTGTCTGAAATGGTATAGAGTTTCTTGCCTGAGCAGGGTGTTAGACTAGAAGTCCTCCAAGGCTGTGGTGAAATTTTTTTACTACCAGTTCTGTGGGTGTGGATTGGTAAGCATAGCATGGCATGGCATGGCATGGTGGGCATGGCAGGGGAAGGATACTGCAAAATCTCTATTCCCACCCCACTCTGGGGCCAGCCAGAGGTGATATTTGCCGGTTCTCCAAACTACTCAAAATTTCTGCTACTGGTTCTCCAAACTGCTCAAAAATTCCGCTACTGGTTCTCCAGAACCTGTCAGACCCTGCTAGATTTCACCCCTGCTCCAAGGTACCTTCCAACTCTGTTATCCTATCCTATCCTATCCTATCCTATCCTATCCTATCCTATCCTACCCTACCCTACCCTACCCTACCCTACCCTACTGTACCCTATCCTACCCTACCCTAACCTATTCATTAATATTAAAGCAATTTCACCTTAAGATTTTACAGTATCATATGCAAGAATAATAAATCTTATGCGAAAACATCCCAAACTACCCATTTTTTAAATGTTTATTAAAACTGTGACATTGCAGTGCAATTTTAATTTTACTTTCTTCCACTGCATTATTAAAATAGCTCTTTTCTCAATAGACAAAGCAAAAAAAAAAAACAACTTCAGAAGAAGAAGAAAATCCCACTCTAAAACTCTACTTGGGCCCACAAGGAAAGCACATATTTAATGGTGTTGATGGAAATAAGAAATACTTGATGTAAAACCACTGGTGATTCCTTTCTAAATCAGTCAGTCAGTTGGGAATCTTTAGAGCCATTTCTGCAAGACTGGGAATGGATTAAGAGTTTATCCTTAAATATTTGCTTGCACCAGATATAAAGAGCCCGAGTAATGCTTGCTTACGCTTCAAAACTCCCCAACAATACTTGCTTTGTGATTAATATTCTTACAAGAGTCAATAAGGAAGCAATGAGGATGTCACAGCCCTAAGTGACACCGAGCTGTGCTGAAAAATGTGGTTTGAATATGGTGACTCAGAACATTTATTCTTAAAATACAAATGTGAAATGTGAGACCTTGTTACATAAGCCATTGTCTATAAATGGAAACCTTAAAGTCTACCAAATTATTCTTCCCACGACGCCTGTGAAACACTGGAAATCACAAAGTAAGTGATCTGACTTTTGACTCAACCCTGAAAAGAGATACTTCATGTAAAATCATTGGTGATTCCTGTCTAAATCTGTCAGTCAATCAGCTGAGAACCTTCAGGGACATTTCTCCAAGCCTGGGAACGGATTAAGAGTTTATCGTTAAATATTTGCTTTCATCAAATATAAAGAGCTAGACTTAGGTTTAAAAAAAATGGCTGCTGTATTTTTCTATGCAGACTGCTGATTATTTCTATATCTATCTATCTATCTATCTATCTATCTATCTATCTATCTATCTATCTATTTATCTATCTATCAAGAGTTTATTTGATTGAGCAATCAGAATGCTTGTTTTTATTTATGGAAGACCTCAGAAAGGTAAGCCTCAATTCTATATGCTATTTCAATACCTTTGAGCACATGCATTTCCCTTTTTCAAGATATGACTTAATTCCATGTATGCTTTTTACAGTGATGAAGGTTGGGATTGAAACTGGCATTTCCTTATTCCATCAGCTATTGGATAGATGGATGGATGGATGGATGGATGGATGGATGGATGGATGGATAGATAGATAGATAGATAGATAGATAGATAGATAGATAGATAGATAGAAGAGAGACAGACAGACAGACAGACAGACAGACAGTTATGGATGGATGGATGGATGGATGGATGGATGGATGGATGGATGGATGATAGACAGACCAGAGGTGGTATTCAGCAGGTTCTGACCAGTTCTGGGGAACCGGTAATGGAAATTTTGAGTAGTTTGGAGAACCGGTAAATGCCACCTCTGTCTGGCCCCGCCCCCATCTATTCTCTGCCTCCCGAGTCCCAGCTGATCGGGAGGGAATGGGGATTTTGCAGTAACCTTCCCCTGGAGTGGGGAGGGAATGGGGATTTTACAGTATCCTTCCCCTGCCACGCCCACCAAGCCACACCCACAGAACTGGTAGTAAAAAAAATTGAATCCCACCACTGAGATAGACAGACAGAGAAACAGAGAGAGGAAGAGACAGATTGCACCTTTTAAAAAGATGCTAAAGATATCATTCCTTACTCAATAGGCTGAAATGAGAGAGAGTGATTTCCTCATCATCACTCAGCATGGTCAAGTGAAAACTTGAACAATGACTTCAACTTGGTCCTTCCCAAGGTTCATCACCAATTTTACTCTTCAAATAGAAGCAGCAATACAGATTAAAAATATCTATCTATCTATCTATCTATCTATCTATCTATCTATCTATCATCTATCTATCTATCTATCTATCTATCTATCTATCTATCTATCTATCTATCTTAACTATAATTTCTGTTGCATTTTTCTTCTCTGAATCCTGTCTTGTAAAGATTGCAAGAGACACAGAGAAGCTGAGTGACCCATTCTGCCGAAGGATTTCCTTTATTCAACTCATGATGAGTGCGTCTTCAAGGTATTTTCTGTTTATCTTCTACCGTTGATTGTTACTACATAAGCAAGTCACTTTGACTCCTGCAATAGACTTTCAAGATCACTATTTACTGCTTTGTAATCTTCCTGATTCTCCTTGTTGTCACCTTTCAACTGGGCCTGTATTGGCAGTCCAAATCTGGTTTGATTTTCTACTGTGCTCTTCATTTCCTACTTCCTTAAAATCATTTTTTTCTGATTGGAATTGGCTATAACTGGGAGGAGGATTCCAGAATAGTAGAAAAAAATATGTAGCTCAGGGTTCAATTATTAGGACTTTGGTGGTTCCTGAGTTTCATTCTCCTTCTGCAAGCACTAATAAAGTTGGGAATGAAATGTCCACAGCAGTGGTAGGATTCAATTTTTTTTACTACCGGTTTTGTGGGCATGGCTTTGTGGGTGTGGCATGGCTTGGTGGGCATGGCTTGGTGGGCGTGACAGGGGAAGGATACTGCAAAATCTCCATTCCCACCCCACTTCAGGGGAAGGATACTGCAAAATCTCCATTCCCACCCCACTGCAGGGGAAGGATACTGTAAAATCTCCATTTCTACCCCACTCCAGGGGAAGGATACTGTAAAATCTCCATTTCCACCCCAACCCCACTCCAGGGGAAGGATACTGTAAAATCTCCATTTCCACCCCACCCCACTCCAGGGGAAGGGAAGGATACTGTAAAATCTCCATTCCCTCCCCACCCCATTAACCTGCTTTCCAGCTCCCTGTGCAGGACAACAAAAGAAGACCCAACCAATCAGCTGGGACTCATCAGCTGGGACTCAGGAGGCAGCAAATAGATAGGGGCAGGGCCAGTCAGAGGTGGTATTTGCCGGTTCTCCAAACTACTCAAAATTTCCACTACTGGTTCTCCAGAACCAGTCAGAACCGGCTGAATACGACATCTGGTCCACAGATACCCAACAAGGATTCTACAATTAACTGTTCAGGTACTGGTTCCATATTCAGATTCTGACAATGTAGGTTAACTGGTTTTATAATTATTATTATTATTATTATTATTATTATTATTATTATTATTATTATTTAATCTTTAGTGAGATTCACAGCCTTTGAGGCTGGTTCATAGTTCAGCAGCTTGAGTCCTAACCAAGGACCTAGGAACTGTTAAGGTATCGTCGGAGGATGTAAGCTGTTCCGACTAAGGTGGTTTTTTGTAGAATCAAAATGTTCAAGTCCAGTAAATTTAGAATTTCTAAATAGCGGGGTAGCCCTTTGGGTATTGCTCCAAGGGCTCCAATTACAATCGGGACAACACACAATTTCTTTTTCCACAGTCGCTCAACTTCAATTTGCAATTCCCGGTACTTTGTAATTTTTTCTTGCTGCTTATCTTCAATCCGTGCATCACCAGGTATTGCAATGTCAATGAACCATACTTTTTTTTTTCAACTATTGTTATGTCAGGTGTGTTGTGGACCAAGTGCCTGTCAGTCTGAATCCTAAAGTCCCACAAGATCTTGAGTTTCTCATTCTCTAAAACTTTCTCAACCTGATGTTCCCAGTGGTTTTTGCCGTACTCAAATCCAAACTTCTGGCACAATTTCCAGTGAATGATCTTAGCAACGTGGTCATGGCGTTGTAGTTAGTCAGTTTGTGAAATTTTGCTGCACCCACTGATTAGGTGGTCGACTGTCTCATCTTTCTCATTACAGAGGCGGCATTTGCTGTTGGTGGTAACATGTTGAATTTTTGCCTTCATGCAGTTTGTGGCTAGGGCTTGTTCTTGAGCTGACAAAATAAAGCTTTCTGTTTCTTTTTTCAGTACTCCTGATCTTAACCAAAGCTGACCAGAAACTAGTTAGTTTCTGGTCAGCTTTGCCTTCAATACTTTTCAAGTATTGGCCATGCAGAGCTTTGCTTTTCCAATTTTCAGCTCGCTGCTCAATTACTTTTTTCTTATATTCTGCTTTTGTTTTAGTTGTCTTTAAAAGGCCTCCTTTATTTACTTCCTTAATCATTGGTTCTTCACTTTTCTGGATGTAATCATTCAAGCTGCATTTTTCTTCTTCCACAGTCTGCTTTACTTGTAGGAGTCCTCGACCACCCTCTGCTCTTGGTAAATATTTATTGTTGTTGTTGTTGTTGTTGTGTTGTTGTTGTTGTTGGTTAATCTTTGGTGAGATTCACAGCCTTTGAGGCTGGTTAATAGCTCAGCAGCTCGAGTCCTAACCAAGGACCTAGGAACTGTTAAGGTATCATCGGAGAATGTAAGCTGTTCCAAGTAAAGTGGTTTTTTGTAGAGTCAAAATGTTCAAGTCCGGTAAATTTAGAATAGAGCTGGTTCCATATTCAGATTCTGACAATGTAGGTTAACTGGTATTATTATATTATTATTATTATTATTATTATTATTATTATTATTATTATTATTTTGTCATCTTAGGCCAAACATTGAAACAATGCTGGCACTCCTAATGCTTCTTCAGCTGACCTTGGAGGTCTCGCTCCAAGAAACCTCCAAATCAGCTATTTCTCCTCAAGACAGGCTCCACAATGCATGCATGTTAATTATGTGTGCACCTAACAAAGGGGACCCCAGAAGAGAAATGGCCATTCAAGGTATCTAAACATCTGCATGAAAGTGTGCTGTTTTGTTTTGCTTTTATGCATAGAAGGAGGGTGCAGATATTTTGTGTCTTCTTGTAACCCTCTGAGCCAAGTTCAATTATGATGTTCTGTTGTACTGATGAAAGATTGCAGAGATATGACAAAGTAGAAGAAAAATTATAATAGGACAGTAAATTAAAGCAATTTAATAACGGTACTCTTATTAACTGTACCAATAACTCAGATATGAATTTTTGAAAAAGGGGTGGGGTTTTTTTGTCAAATAAGTAGAAAGTTGAGACTGCTACAATCAGTTTCTGATCCAACCAGTAGAGTAGAAGGCTTAGCAAGAAGTAGGAAATCAAACCTGAGTAGTAGCAAAATCACCTCATGATTTAAAAAGTTTGAAGTGTTAGTGCTAGGTAAGGAACCTTGGCTGATAATAACACTGTAGTAGTGGAAAGTCTTCCTTTGAGTCATTGAACCAATATGTCTTCCTCTTATAAAATCACCAGGGCTTCAACAGTTTTCAAGTCCATCAGAACTTCTGGCTATCTCTGCACCAAACAAAGATAAGCTGGGGAGCGGAACAAGTGGTGAGATTCATTTTCCAGAAAATAAATTTACTATGATGAAAATATACTGAGATTCTACTCCCAGTCCCCCAAAAGAGGGGGCTGGGACAAGCTAGGAGGAAAAAAATTAAAGGAAGCGGACTATTTATGATGCAAATACCAACAGGACATAGAAGGTAATTTAACGTACTGCACTATGTCAGGGTTCCAATGACAGATGCCCTAATTAATTCATGAGCCTCGAGGCAAGTTTCAAAAGAAATCCAATTATTTATTAGGAGCAACATGTTGGCATATACCCAAGTGGAGTCAGCTCTGGCCCACGTAATTTACGTCCCAACTATGACCCTGGTTCCCCCCTCCTCCCAGGGTGTGTCATAAATCACATTCTCCAACGGAGCACTTTCGCAGGCTGTAGAGAACACACCTCTCCGTCTGGCTCTGGTAACCTAGGCTGCAGCCTTGAGAAAGGTATGCGTGAAATGTGCTTCTGATTGTTGCCGTGTTGCTCTGTCAGTTTTCTCCCCTCCTGCCTATGGCAACTCGAGAGCAGGCCAGGAATGCTTTACGAGTTGACACACTATTTATTCATTTATTCAATTTATTGTGTCGCCTCATCTCACCTGGAGGTGACTTTAGGCGGCTTACAATCAGGGCCTAGCTATCTTCGAGACCGCCTGCTGCCACCGATGACCTCCCATCGACCCGTGCGCTCCCACAGAGAGGGCCTCTTCGGGGTGCCATCAGCCAAACAGTGCAGGCTGGTGACCCCCAGGGGGAGGGCCTTCTCTGTGGGGGCACCTATCCTCTGGAATCAATTGCCTCCAGAGATAAGGAGAATCCAAGACCTCAGTGCCTTCCGCCGTGCCTTTAAAACCTTCCTTTTCCAGCAAGCCGGGCTGGCCTAATTTTTTAAGTGTTTTTAAGTGTTTTGTTTATTGTTTTTAATTAATGGGGCCAAATTTATATATATATATATTAACTGTATTTTAATATTTGTACTTGATGTTTTTACTTGGCTGTTCACCGCCCTGAGTCCTCAGGGAGAAGGGCAGTATACAAATTCAAAATAAAAAAAAATTAAAACCCACAAAAACAATAAAACAATAAATAGTGACATTGAATTGATTAAGATTGACAAAAATCGGGAGGGAGAGAGAAAGATGCACATGGGGGAGAGGAGGTAGAGTCTTTAATCGATTAACCAAAATAATGTCTCCCCTCCATTGAGGATCCATGCCATTTGATGGAGTCAGGACTTCAGGTCCTTTCAGATTATGCTCTTTTTCTAAATACGATTTATCTTCAAAACATTCTAGTGAGATAGGGTGGGGCGAGAATTAGGAATCTGCTTAGCTCCCTTTACTTTAGTGAGATTTCTTGTTACATTGAGTCACGATCTTGCTCAAACCAAATCATAAGATACGAGAGTCACACACCATTCACCCATGTTTCTTTTAGTCATTGTTTGCTGAATATATCGTAATCGGCTTTCATTTACCCATCAAATGGTACATGGTTGCTGAAGCATGTTGGTTGGGTTCCAACATCCATGCAAATGGGATATAGGGTTACAACTACTGAGCTTTGTAAACTCTGCTCTATGGCTCAGCGTAGTGTGTAAATTCCACCACATAATAACTTTGTCAACAGACTCTGCCTTGGTTTGTGTTAACATCACAACCACCAAGTTCATTCTTCCTGTTCCTTGTATTTGTACAAGGTCCAAATGCTTGAATTTTGATATCACTGTGGTGAGTACATCTAGTTTACAGGCCAGGGATTGTTCGAAGGATCAAAATGACAGCATCCCTTCAGCTCGACATTAAAATGACATTGCAGAAATTTTGTGGGTTTTTTTTTTTTCCTTTTTCTTTTGCCATCTTAGCTATTTCCTCCTCTGATATAGCTCTGCTCCTCAAAGAAAAAGGAACAGGGCCTCTTGTTCATCTATCGTTAGACCATTCCTCACAGAAACCTTCCCCAAATCTTCTCACAGCTTTGTTTTGTTTTGTTTTGTCATTTCTTGAATATGTGCATATTTACACAAGGTTGTTTTACTTCCTGTTCCAAACAAGGGCACAGTTATTTTACCTGCCATGCACTGAGTTAATAAACTTGCTTCTCAGGCAAATATAGTTGTGGTCCATCCAGAATGAAGGAGAGATTTAGAACTCACTAATTTGTACAGGCAAAACTTGTCCAACCAGCCTTCCTATCAAGAGCTGAGTTGAGCTCTGTATAAAACACTAGAAGACAGGATATCTATTGTTTAGGGCTGGTGAACGTCCTTCTGTCTTATAACAAAAGTTACTCTGTTTCATGTTCAACCAATAAAGACACTGTGTTTAGTAGAAAAATTCATAAGGAAAAATAATATGAGGGATCAATGTTGGCGATTCCCACCCAAATTTAAATATGCATAGAAGAAATATCTGTGGTATTAAGCTCCCAAACTCAAGGACATTTAAGCCCTGAAATATCTCTTTATATCATGAATGGGCAACTTCTGCATGAATTTTTGAGTCAATGTTTGGTGAATACCTACATGACAGACTCTACAAGAATGTATAGTTATGAAGGATATACTTCCAAAGATAGAATACCATTTTTCATATATTCCTAAAAGTGAAATTACTCTTAATTTAATTTCAATCCTATTTCCTGCTTCAAAACATATGAGATAACCCTCACGGTTTCTTTAAAAAAAAAAAGATCTGACAAATCCAATCATTGGGTGCCTGAAGTAAGAACTCTAGGAAGTAGGGTCAAGTTATTGAGTCCCTCTGACTAGATGGAAATGTTCTCCATGGTCATGGCTATTAGAAATATCTTCCTTTGTAGTGAAGAATCTCTAATTGAATATGATATCAATGAGGAAGTCTAATTCAATTCCATTCCCACTCAGAGCTTGAACTTCTTAAGCTGCAAATAAAAGAACTTCGGATTCAGATGGACATTCTCAAAGCTACCTTCATCAAAGTTCAACAGGGTAAGACATTTGGGAGAAGGGGTTAGGCACTTCTGGCATGTGTGTTTCCACATCTTGATTTAGCTAACAACCTTGGGTTTCCCTGCTGGTTCCCCATCCAAACATGAAACAGGAACGACCCTATCTGGCTTTCAAGGCAGCTCTGAGATCAGTGGCAGGAAACAGTGTGTCAGGGTTCCAACCAATGTCCTAATTAAAGCATGAATCTCAAGCCGAGATTCAAAAGGAGCGTCATGTCGGCACGTACCAAGTGAAGCCAACTCTGACCTCACTTAATTCGCATCTTGACTCTGATCTGTTTCCCCCTCCCCCCCAAGGTGTGTCATTGGTCACATTCCCCAATGAAGCAATGTTTTATATTTTATTGGAAAAACTTCCCTTTCCACTAATCTGCCATAGATGTAATCATGTCACATTGGCATGTTGCAGAATCAGTGAAGACAGTACTTCAACATTTTGCTATTCTCTTTCCTTCTAGCTGCCCTGGCTCCCAATGGAGTGATCGTGGGTGAGAAAATGTTCAAAAGAGGTGACTCTAAGGGAGATTTCCAGGCCGCCACCGCCAACTGCGTGCACATGAATGGCAAACTTGCCTTGCCAAGGAATGTGGCAGAGAACAACGCCCTCCAAGAAATAGTAGCATGGCGTAAAGAACAGGCGATTCTTGGAATCCGTTACAACGCAGCTGAAAAGAAGTTTGAGGATCTCAATGGCTATCCCCTACAATTTTTCAACTGGGCTCCTGGAGAACCGAATAACCTTGGTTACGAAAAATGTGTGGAAATACACCCAAATGGCCAGTGGCATAATAGAATTTGCGATCTCGGCTGGTCAATCATTTGTGAATTTAACATCTAATGGATGTTGGGCTGGGGGGAAGGAAAAGAATTCCACCATAGAATTGAAAAAGAAAACTTACTCTGTTTATCACAAATACAGTCTAGCACCGTGATGGCAAACCTATGGCACATGTGCCCAAAGTGGCATGCAGAGCCATGATACCTGGCACATGCGGTGTTACCCGTTCTTCTTCCGGGTTTCTGGCGTTCATGCATGTGCAATGATCAGCTGGCCTTAGCTCGTGCGGCAGTGCCAAAAATCAAAAGACCAGCTGGCTGGTGCGCATGTGCATGCACATGTGCATGCCAGAAACCAGCTCTTCTGGTTTCCAGCACTGCCGCACGCACAAAAGCCAGCTGATCATTGCACAGACACTTGTTGGGGCTGCAACCCAAAAGAGGAGAAGCCCAGGGGGCATGCGTCCACCGGGAAATGAATTTCCAGTTTCTGACACACGCATGCCCCCTAGGCAGCTCCTCTTCTGGTTTGCAGCCCAGACGAGCGTGTGTGCACGCAATGCGCTCACTCCCTTTTCGCCACTCGGTGCCAAAAAGGTTCACCATCACTGGTCTAGCATATGGCAAGTAAATCCTAATCCAATAGCTTCCCCTGTTTTCAGCGAGATCGGAAGTCAAGTTTTACTCCGTTGACTTCAGCCTTGTCATTCCAATAGAAGTTGTCTTCTTCCACTTAAACCAACCATCTTGGAATCCTTCCTCAGTCCTCCACTGAAGTAGTGGCCAGACTTGATGCTGCTTAGCTTTTATGATCCATCATCAAATAGATGTTTCCATCTTCCAAGTCTTCCCTAGCTTAGCTTAGATAGCAAAACTGCACAGAAATGTAGTGGCTTATAGATCCATTTTCCACCATTTCTAAATAAATGCTTTCCTATCAGCATTTGTTGCTTGAGACTCTATTTTTTTATTTACACTGAGAGGTAGCTTAATAGACATGGTCCTACAATACTCTTGCTACATTACCTTGAAATCCTTGGACAGTTTTGCAAAGGATTCTTCAGAGCCTTGGTAGGGCTAGAGTTCAGGGATATTCCTATCAGTGAATATCAATTTGCACCGAAGGATCCAGATTTGAATTTAAAATTTATTGCAGTAATTTTTTTGTGAGCCATGCAGCCCAAGAGGTCAGAGGTGAACTATAGTAGCAATGGAATTTAGACTTATATACCGCTTCACAATGCTTTACAACGAAAGTTGTTGAGAGTGTGGTGGCACGACAACTGCCCAGGAACCTGGATGAAGCTATCTGTACCAGTCAGGCTTCAGGCAGGGGTACAGCACAGAAACGGCATTGGTCGCGTTGGTGGATGATCTCTGGAGGGCTCGGGACAGGGGTTGTTCCTCTGTCCTGGTCCTGTTAGATCTCTCAGCGGCTTTTGATACCATCGACCATGGTATCATGCTGCAGCGGTTGAGGGGGTTAGGAATAGGGGGCACGGTCTTGCGGTGGTTCTCCTCCTTCCTCTCCGACCGCTCGCAGTTCGTGTTGACAGGGGGGCAGAGGTTGACTTCGAGGCACCTCGCATGGGGAGTGCCGCAAGGGTTGGTCCTCTCGCCCCTTCTGTTCAACATTTATGTGAAGCCGCTGGGTGAGATCATCTGTGGTTTTGGGGTGAGAGCCCACCTATACACTGATGATACTCAGCTGTACATCTCCACCCCAGACCACCCCAACGATGCCCTTGATGTGATGTCTTGCTGCCTGGAGGCCGTGCGGGTCTGGATGGGGAGAAATAGGCTCAGACTCAACCCCTCCAAGACTGAGTGGCTGTGGTTCCCAGCGTCACAATATAGTCAGCTGGTGCCATCGCTGACTATTGGGGTGAGTCTTTGCTCCCCACAGAGAGGGCTCACGATCTGGGCGTCCTCCTGGATGCACGGCTGTCTTTAGAAGAACATATGACGGCTGTGGCCAGGGGGGCTTTTTATCAGGTTCACCTGATGCAGCCCTTTCTGGATCGCGACGCCTTGCGCACGGTCACTCACACCCTTGTCGCCTCCCGACTGGACTACTGTAATGCTCTCTACATGGGGCTCCCCTTGAAAAGCATCCGGAGGCTCCAACTGGTCCAGAATGTGGCCGCGTGGGTGGTTATGGGCGCAACTCGTTGTGCCCACGTGACACCCCTCCTGCGCGAGTTGCACTGGCTCCCAGTGGTATTTCTGGGTGCGATTCAAGGTGTTGGTTACCATCTTTAAAGCGCTCCATGGCATTGGACCTGGGTACCTTCGAGACCGTCTTCTGCCACCAGTAGCCTCCCACTGGCCAGTTCGCTCCCACAGAGAGGGTCTCCTCAGGGTGCTATCGGCCAAATTATGTCGGCTGGTGACACCAGGGGGAGGGCCTTCTCTGTGGGAGCCCCTGCCCTTTGGAATGAACTGCCCCAGAAATGCGTAAGATCTCCGACCTCCGTGTATTTTGCTGTGCCCTCAAAACCTTGTTGTTCCGCCAGGCCGGGCTATCAATGTAAAGACTTTAATTGGTTTTAAATGTGGGATTTTAAATTTGGGGGTTTTATAATTGAGCCAATTATTTAATAATTTTAAAATTTTGTCTGTCTTTGTGCTTTTAATCAGGCTGTACACCGCCCTGAATCCTTTGGGAGAAGGGCGATATAGAAATAAAATTATTATTATTATTATTATTATTATTATTATTATTATTATTATTATCCCTCTCTAAGTAGTTTACGGAGTCGGACTATTGTCCCCAAAAATCTGGGTCCTCATTTTACTGACCTCAGAAGGACGGAAGGCTGAGTCAACCTTGGGCCAGTTAAGATCGAACTCCTGGCAGTTGGCAGAGTCAGCCTGCAATCCTGCATTCTAACCACTGCGCCACCACAGCTCATAATAAATCCTAGCTAGCTTAGTAAAGAAAGTTTGGCCTGGAAGTTTAACCAAAAGTTTGGTTTAATATTTTGATGGATTGGAATTAAAATATTTGGGTTATATCTCTGAAGATCCAAGGGTCCAGTTAGCCTGTACTAAGCAACAGCATCTTCTTCAGAGGTGGGTTTCAGCAGGTTCTAACTAGTTCTGGAGAACCAGTAGTAGAAATTTTGAATAGTTCAGAGAACTGGTAGTAAAAATTCTGACTGGCCCTGCCCCCATCTATTCTCTGCCTCCCAAGTCCCAGCTGATCAGGAGGAAATGGGGATTTTGCAATAACCTTCCCCTGGTGTAGGGTGGGATACAGTATCCTTCCCTTGGAGTGAGGTGGGAATGGAGATTTTACAGTATCCTTCCCCTGCCACCCCCACCAAGCCATGCCATGCGCACCAAGCCATGCCACACCCACCAAGCCATACCCACAGAACCGGTAGTAAAAAAAAATTGAAACCCACCACTGCTCTTCTTCATCCTTTTGTTTCCACATTCATTCCCAAACTAAGTTTGCATTTCATCACCACACCCTAGAAGAAAGTACTATATGACAAAATAATATTCTCAGCTAAATCCAAGAAAAAAGCACCAGAAAATGAAAAGGGAATGAAATTCCTGTAGTGGAAATCAGCCATTTCTTGCTCAACACTCAAATTTATCTTAAAAACATTGGGGTTTTTAAATTGTCACGGGCCAAATTATTTAATCAGATTTTATATTGTTTTTAAATTTTGTAATTTATATGTTTTATCTAGCTGTTCACCGCCCTGAGTCCTGCGGGAGTAGGGTAGTATATAAATCTAATAAATAAAATAAAATAAAATAAAATAAAATAAAATAAAATAAAATAAAAAATAAAATAAAATAAATAAAATAATAAAATAAAATAAAAAATAAAATAAAATAAAATAAAATAAAATAAAATAAAATAAAATAAACACAGCATCTTGGCTTGCACTGTGCAATAGGATGAGCTCCCACTCCTTGCCTCAGCTCCTGTAGATAAATAGGTACCACTTTGGTGGGAAAGCAACAGCGTTCCATGCACCTTTGGTGTACAGCCATGCTGGCCACATGACTACAGAAATTGTCTTCAGACAACACTGCCCTCTGGAGTTGAACACAACTGGACAGAGGAAACCTTTGCCTTTTAATAGTGACGAACAGAGAGTCTCATGAAGGACACTATATGGCTGTGTCGCCAGAGGTGGGTTTCAGCAGGTTCCGACCAGTTCTGGAGAACCGGTAGCAGAAATTTTGAGTAGTTCGGAAAACCGGTAGTAAAACTTCTGACTGGCCCAGCCCCCATCTATTCTCTGCCTCCCAAGTCTCAGCTGATCGGGAGGAAATGGGGATTTTGCAGTAACCTTCCCCTGGCTTGGGGAGGGAATGGAGATTTGACAGTATCCTTCCCCTGCCATGCCCACCAAGCCATGCCATGCCACGCCCACCAAGCCACACCCACAGAACCAGTAGTAAAAAATGTTGAAACCCACCCCTGTGTGTCGCGTGTGAATTATGTAAACCCCTGCAGAAATGAACTGAACTGAAGAGATTCAGAAACATGTGTGGAGATGTATTCAGGCACACTTGAAGTACAACCGGAACATTCTCTGGTTCTGTCAATTTTAAAGCTGTTTCTCCAGGTTCTGTACTTAAAGTTCATATCTCTTTAATTGCCATGACTTTTTCAAGGAATTTTAAGACAGTCCCATACTGTTCCCACTGTCTGATCTCTTAATAAAACTCATTTCTCCTTACCTAATTCTCCCTTTCCTGCTACAAAAGCAACATGAAATAAAATTGCTTACACGACCGCAACATTTGTGTCCTTAATTAATGTTCTGTGCATTTCTTTCCCTTTTTCTTTTTCTTTTTTGGTAGGCTAACAAAAAATCTCAGCGGTTCCTTTGAGAGGAAGCCACAAAGCTGTCAGTCCACCTTTCCCTTTGAAAGTATTCTTGCGATGAGCTTGCGGTTTAATGTTTTATTGATGCTAAGCAAGGAGACACAAAGGTGTTTATGATGATATACATAATACATGCCTGCAGATATTTTGGGATGACAGCACCCGGTGTTGGGTAGTGGGGTGAGGCAAGAGTTTCTTCCTGAAAAGAAGGACAGTCACAAGCTCTAGAGTGATTCATTGTAGATTTCAAGGAAAAGATTTGTTTTATTTCGGTTGCAACCTCACCCTCCTGAGCCAGAAATAAACTTACACGAAGCTCTCTAACATAAATGAGGCTGAGAAACAATATAAATCTCTAGAGTTTTATTTCAGACAGATGCAGATTGTCAAAAGTACTTCTGCTCTCATGCAGTGTTAATGAGACATCTTTGAAAAATCTCCAATGCGCCCTCAGAACAACCCAAGAACTGTCAGAAGATTTTGCTGCAGCTGGATACAAGCAAACCTTGTAGGAAAAGAGGGCAGGAGTTGTTTATATTTCTCACCAACTGCATAAAAAGGAGATTTTTCATATAGTGTAATAAAGCGATTTTTCCAACTCACGTTATTATTTGGCTCTTTCCTTTTTGCTGCTTAAAGGTAAAGGTAAAGGTTCCCCTCGCACATACAGTATGTTCTAGTCATTCCTGACTCTAGGAGGTGGTGCTCATCTCCGTTTCAAAACTGAAGAGTCAGCGCTGTCCGAAGACGTCTCCATGGTCATGTGGCCGGCATGACTAAATGCCAAAGGCTCATGGAACACTGTTACCTTCCCACCAAAGGTGATCCCTATGTTTCTACTTGCATTTTTTATGTGCTTTCGAACTGCTAGGTTGGCAGAAGCTGGGACAAGTAATGGGAGCTCTCTCCATTATGCAGCACTAGGGTTTTCAACCGCTGAACTGCCGACCTTTCGATCGACAAGTTCAGCGTCTAAGCCACAGAGCCACTGCATATATACTGCTTATATGCAGGTAAAATCTCTGAAAAAGTAAGACTATAGCCTACCCTGCTTTGTTTCTGTCCCAAACTCTGGAAAATGTTCT